TTCTAGGAAAAAATTGAATTTCTCTCCCTAGGTGAATAATGAAAATGACGTCATGACGCAAGGATATTGTCATGTTTCTATTGGTTCAATTTCAATTTCATGCGTCAATTTAAAACAAAATACAGGTTTCTGTAGGTACATAGGAAGTTATTATAAGCTGTTGATAGAGGGCAACACTTTCAAGAGGGCGTTCAAAAAAAAATAATTAGAGCACAGATTTTAAGCAAATTTTTTATTTTCTACTAGCAGTAGTAAAAAAAATTCTATATATTCCTCGGTAGAGAAAGTCATTATATACCTCACGCATTATAAGCGATCGGTATATAATGACCAACTTCTCTACCTAGGTATATAATATACTATTTTTTACTACTTACCTGAGAAATAGTCATTATTCAATCTATTTTTCTAGGAAAAAATTGAATTTCTCTCCCTAGGTGAATAATGAAAATAATGAAAAAGTCCCTAGGTCAATAATGAAAATGACGTCATGACGCAAGGATATTGTCATGTTTCTATTGGTTCAATTTCAATTTCATGCGTCAATTTAAAACAAAATACAGGTTTCTGTAGGTACATAGGAAGTTATCATAAGCTGTTGATAGAGGGCAGCACTTTCAAGAGGGCGTTCAAAAAAAAATAATTAGAGCACAGATTTTAAGCAAATTTTTTATTTTCTACTAGCAGTAGTAAAAAAAATTCTATATATTCCTCGGTAGAGAAAGTCATTATATACCTTACGCATTATAAACCTCGGCGCTTTGCGCCTCGGTTCATAAAAGCGCTCGGTATATAATGACCAACTTCTCTACCTAGGTATATAATATACTATTTTCTACTGACATTTCATAATACGCTATTAAACGATTAAAATCTGTATCATAATGAACTTCATTACGATACAGATTTTCATTATAATACTCATTTTTAATATTATACAATGTTGATAGATGGCAGCACTAGTTAAGATATTAAACATTTTAAACGGTAATTTTGCATAAAACAATTATTTTGATAACTATAAGAAAGACTCCGAATTGTTTAAAAGTTACCTAAAGTTTGGGACAAGGAATAATTATTATGGAAATTATGAATGATAAGGAAGGATTTTTACTTTTTTCATTATTATACATTGTCAATAGATGGCGCCATCAGTTAAAAAAATTTGAATTATTTTTTTTTGAATGTTGGCAGCACTCTGTTTATAGCTTTTCCATGGTAATTTAGCGAAAAACAATAATTTTATAAACAAAAATACCTCAAATTATTATTAAAAGTTAATACCTTAAGTTTGGGAGAAGGCATTATTATGGAAATATTGAGCGATAACGAAGAATTTTCACTAACACCTCCAGAAATTACAGAAAGGGCGACAAATGCAGGTAATAATATACTACCGGACAGGTCCAAGAAAATTTACAAAGAATTATATGGATTATTCCACTCATGTGTTAGAAATCCCATAAGACAAGTGACGATTTTCAGAATTACAGCGAAAATTCTCTTTTCCATTTGTTTAACTAGAGAGAATTACAGCGATAATTCTCCCATGTTATTGTATACATGGTTGTCATGCTAATTTTTGGTACAAACAAACGGTTCCTGATAGCAACCATTTATTTGTATTGATTGTTAAGATGTTTAAATCGTTTAATACATATTTATTTCCATATTTTTTTGCATTCTCATACGTGAAATAATCCTCTAAATACCACTTGAGCTTTAAAATGAACCAGATAATTTTTCACTCATGCGTGTTTTCTCTGCAAATTTCACTCGTCCTACGGACTCGTGAAATTATAGAAAACACGCAATCGTGAAAAATTATCGGTAATTTTGAAGCTCCCGTGGTATTATCCCCGACAATTTATGGATTGGAAACACCAAAAACACATCATCCTTCTCAGAAAATGTTTTGATAGTATACCGGGTGCCCACGAGATCACTTTCCGGCTGCCATTTTTTCATTTGTTTATCAATATCAACGAAACTTTGTGGGGTTGATATTCTAACCAAACGCCATTTTATGCATTTATGCCAAGTTTTCCTGACTTCCGGTTTCACCAGAAATTACCGGAACTTTTGATTTTTAAATGGCACACCCTGTATATTTTCTGTTTTTCGGATTTTATAGATCGTTTTACGTCCTAATAGTCCGAGAGCCAGCGCCAAAAAAGTGCAAGAGTTTCATGAAAGCTGAAAATGTAATATAAGCTTGTATTTGTGATGTATATAACTATACTCGAGTCAGCAAGTGAGGTAGCGGGACAAGCTACGCCCACGCACCTTTGAATGTGTAAAAAAATAATCACGATGAAAGAGTTTCATGACAGCTGAAAATCTCTCAATCCATTGTTTATTTGATAAAAAACATGACGCACATGGTCAGATAGCATTATGTTAGGACAACTAGAGTCAGCATGCCTATACAGGGTGGTCCATTTAACTTGAGACAGTCTAATATCTCGAAAACGGTGCATTTTTGAAAAAAAAAGTTTAAATAAAAGTTACATGGTATCATGTGGGAAACAAAATGGCGGTACTGATTTTTGACTTTGACAACGTTTTCAAGGTTATTTCAAGGTCAACTCTTTATTTTCAATGGAAATATATTTTTATTACAGAATCTTATTCTACAGAAAAAAACAAGTAACTTTTACTTGAAGCATTTTTCGATCCGGTTTCAATTTAACCTGATAAAAAAGAACGAATAATTTTTTTTTTCCTCCTCACAGATAGATAGATAGATAGATAGAGATAGATAGATAGAAAAGTAAAAAAAAAATCGAAAAGTAGAGATAGGTTACCAAAAATACCTCAAAAAATATAACAATTGATCAAATTGACGACCGCCAACTTCAACACAGTTGTTAATTCGCTGTAAAAAGCTTTCATGGCACCAAATTACAGTTTCTTTACTGACAGCTCTAAGCATTTCTTATGTGTTCCATCATATTATCCGGTGTTGTGGGAACCTCTTGATGAAGTGTGTATTTGATTTTTAAAGTGAATTGACAAGTGTGTTGAAGTTGGCGATCGACATTTTGATCAATTGTTATAGTTTTTGAGGTATTTTTGGTAACCTTTCTCTACTGTTCGATTTTGTGAGGAGAAAACAAAAAAATTATTCGTTCTTTTTTATCAGCTTAAATTGAAACCGGATCAAAAAATGCTTCAAGTAAAAGTTACTTGTTTTTTTCTGTAGAATAAGATTCTGTAAAAAAAAAAATATATTTCCATTGAAAAAAAAGAGTTGACCTTGAAATAACCTTGAAAACGTTGTCAAAGTCAAAAATCAGTACCGCCATTTTGTTTCCCACATGATACCATGTAACTTTTATTTAAACTTTTTTTTTCAAAAATGCACCGTTTTCGAGATATTAGACTGTCTCAAGTTAAATGGACCACCCTGTATAGGCATGCTGACTCTAGTTGTCCTAACATAATGCTATCTGACCATGTGCGTCATGTTTTTTATCAAATAAACAATGGATTGAGAGATTTTCAGCTGTCATGAAACTCTTTCATCGTGATTATTTTTTTACACATTCAAAGGTGCGTGGGCGTAGCTTGTCCCGCTACCTCACTTGCTGACTCGAGTATAGTTATATACATCACAAATACAAGCTTATATTACATTTTCAGCTTTCATGAAACTCTTGCACTTTTTTGGCGCTGGCTCTCCGACTATAATGCACCACTTTTGAATCGAGTTTCATCCAAATTTTGTTTTTATTTTAAATTTTATTTTTTCAACTAGAGTGCCATGATCATCCTAAAATGACTCTACATACTTTACTTAATTTCAGAAAAATACAAAATCAATTTTATCTTTGTAAACTTTTTTGACAGAGGGCTGTAAACTTCATTATTTTAGTGTTTTTGCGTTTTTGCCCTAGCTCAAAAGCTAGAATAGAAACATATCACTTTCATAACAGTACTAAATGCAGTATTTCAAAGCGAATCCAGCGATATAATACATTACGACATTTTTTTTAACTTTCGTTCAAATACCTATTTTTGTTCTATTACGTAGGTAATTTTATTTTTTTTATACTTAAAATTTAATTTCAAAACGAAATTTGGACAAAACTTGATTTAAAAGTGGTACATTAGGTGCCGGTACTTTTGCTGTCATTTAACAGCCGTTAAAAATAATCAGGGCTTAGAATGTGCTCTAACCACATCATACTTTATAGACCTTGGCCCATGCAAAACTTTGACAACGTATCAAATTCGTTAATCGAGGGCAAAAGTACTGGCCCTTAGTCGTATAACGATCTGTAGAATCCAAAAAACAAAAAATATACAGGGTGTGCCATTTCAAAATCAAAAGTTTCGGTCATTTCCGGTGAAACCGGAAGTCAGAAGAGCTTGTTCCGTCAGAAAATCAAACCTACCAAGTTTCGTTGATCGATAAACAAATAAAAAAATGGCAGCCGCAAAGTAATCTCGTGGGCACCCGGTATACCTTACGCATTATAAACCTCGTCGCTTCGCGCCTCGGTTTATAAAAGCGCTCGGTATATAATATGACCAACTTCTCTACCTAGGTATATAATGTACTATTATTAATTTGTATTGGAATAAAAGGAAACCATCAAACTAGCAAAAGCCATGGATCAATCAAGGTCTGTTTAGGTTTAGGTGAATTTTCGAGCCTGATGGAAGCCGTTCCGCCATCCCTATATAGTAATAAGTGCCGAAGGGTTTTCGAGATTTTGGGAAAGTGTCTCAATTTTCGGTTCATCTAGTGAGCCATCCAAATAATTATAATAAAAAATACATTTGGAGTTCCCAGGTGTTGACGTCCTTCGATTGGGGTGGCCTTATTAAGACAAGACTTGCCTTGCATAAATAGAGGAAATTCATGAAATTGTAGTAGAAGGAAACAATCATAAACATAATAGTTACAAGTTTTTTTTCAAATATTTGCTTGTTTGGTTGTAATTCAAGGCCGTCCTGTACTAGTCAAATTTAACCTTTTTTTTTAAATTTAGATAACCATCACTTTATTGATGCTATCCTTCATTCCATGGCCAGGACCGACCATATTCAAAATCTCTTGTCCGAGAGACAACGCTAGAATAGTTAGGAAAATAGTCCAAAGCAAATGGATACCTGTATTAGATAAATATAAGGTAAGTTGCACAATAGTTTAGTGAGTTTACTTATGTTATAGTTATCTTAGGTCAAGCTACCCTTAGAATGCCCATTTCATCCTCAAAGAGACATTTTCGGACCGCAACAGGCTGTGAAGAAACAGCACAGACCATCGCAATGGACTTGCGGAATATGCGGAAAATCATTTTTCGAAGAGAAATTTTTAGACATGCATTTTGATAATCGTCATAAGGGATATATTAATATGGTAATAGGATCAAACATTCATCATACCTATACATTCTTCAGTGACCATATTTTAGGCTGAAGATGCTGTATGTTTAGCAGATTACTGTGATATAATGCGATGCGACGTCATAAATATTATAGAACTCAAAACCGTATCTTCGAATCACGAAAATACCGATATTGAGATTTGGCGCGAAGCTTCGTCGTATTCGAAAGCTCTGACAACGTCGAGTCCGCGCGACGTTGCTAAGTACATTGTCAAGAATGGCAATTTCGTACTCTTACAAAAGGCTAACAGCAAAGATGGCAGTAGCGCGAAAAAGTTGTGCCAAAAGACGGAAACACCCGAAGAAGCTGCAGATAACAAAGGTACTTAAACCAATGATTTTTCTACCAACTTTAAACTAACAATTTAAAAAAATCAGATAGCAGCTCATCTAGTGACTCCGCTGACGTAAACCAACAAAACGCCAGTTCAAACAACGTTTGCCAGAGCGACCTTGTTGACTCGGCACTACCGCAACCGGACAACCGGCAACAGCGCATCAACGAAATTCAAAAATTGCGCGCCAATTGTAAACCGGAGGAATTGCAAAAAATTAAAACGAAGTGCGAAATTTTGGTCAGAGACTGTATCGCTGGATTGTTGATTCAGTTAAGTGTGAAAGATTTTAAGGAAGTAGAAGGTAAGCGCAGAGACATCATGACTATGTTATAATTATTATTACGACCATCAAACATCGCTGTGTAATGTAATCAATTATAAAGTGGACCGGCTATAAGAGCATGAGCTGCATTGTCCATTAATTTTTTTAGATGAGCTAAATCGTGCGGTTTGCTGGTATTTAGCCTGCGACAGATACTGGGAAGATTCGCATGCTGATATAAGAACTTTTCCATGGGGATTATTGTGCATGATCATGATGGTACTTTCCTTAGGAGTTTGCCTGTGTTATTACGTAGTTTGGGTTCTATTCGAGTAAGTACAATTTGGAAACAGTGCTTTAAGTTAGACAAAGCATACCTACTTCACCTAGTAGGCTTTTTGTTGTTACTTGCCACCAGTCACCGTGTGATTTTATAGGCGGTTCAACTGAAGTTGGTTCCATGATCATGATTTTTGATTAGGAAGCTATCTTTTATATCACTTTTTTAATTTCAAGACTTCATAACTTTGATGTCATTAAGTAAGAATTAGGGTACATAATTAATTCTGACGTCATCTGGAGGGAATTTAATTCGCTTATTGTTATGTTATCACATGTCGTAGATAGTAACCAGTAGCCTCTTTATTCCTTTTTCAGTACGGATGATGTTAGTGTGACCAGTGCAAGCATTACAGATCGTTCCACACCGTCACCAGCGCATTTACTTAGATCTGACATTAGTTCAGGAGGAGATGGTCTCAATGCGTATTCGGAAGATTATATAGGTACAGATAAAGATAACGATTACATTTATGTTACTTACCCGCCCGATTTGAAACGAAGACTGCTAGAAAGGTAATGTATTGTAGTGGATGAAATATGTAGATAGTTTAAGGATGTTCTCCCGTAACGTCGACTGCTATAAGAGCCAATATGTACATCTAGGAATTGTAGAATAGTTTCTTTTTTAAATGGCTTTTATTTTGGGAGAACATCTTTAAAGGGTTTTTAAAAATAATGTTTTCCTCTCGTAGCTGCTACAATCGAACAACGCGCTTGTGAAATTAGAAGACAGTTTTAGAATTTATAGGATAGACAATTTTTCATCTTGTAGTTTAGAAATTATGTAGCGAAACTCCAGGAAAGTCTGAAATTAAATTCTCAAAGAAGAAAAAATAATAAAGTTTTTACCTCATTGAATATGCACATTCTTTTTTTTTTTTTTTCATATAGGCAGGGCCGGCTCCAGATATTTCGGCGCCCTGTGCAAAAGGTATTTTTGCCGCCCCTCTTACCGATTACTTTCCTACTTTTTAGTTTTAGTACTATTCTTGGTACCTCCTATTTGCTAGAGTCCTTATATGATATATACTATATTTTTATCATTTTTAAGTTTTTAATGGAATAATTTTATTACTATACTTATTATTTTAATGCAACCTACAATTGACCTTTTCAATTTAAAAGCTTCTTTCTCTGGGGTCAGACTGTCAGACGCCAAAAGAGTATGAAAACAATGGTTTGAGAGCCGTTGACACTGGTTTGTTGACAAGATTTTTATACGTATGGAAACTGGAAACTATCATTTCCTCGTTTTTTTCAAGGTTTTTTCCTAACAATGGTGATAGTGTGTCTTCTCGTAAAAATAATTCCCATTCACCGGCGGACGTGTCTTTCACTAAGTTTCCATCAAATCTCACATTTGTCAAAATTTGGATACACAAAATCAGAAAGGATACTCGCAAAAGAAAGGGAAATCTACGGCTCATCAAGTATACAAAGTAATATATGTTCAAGTTTATTTTGCGGAAGCTGTCTGCTTTCTAAATAATCCACCACCCTCTCCATAGCGAAGTTCTGCAGATGAAACAGTGACTTTTCTCAAATTTTGTTTCCAATTTCGAATTCACTACTGCGTTTTAATTCTCATCTTTCACCGATGGATCCACCATTCTATGTCGGTCATTGTCATTTTCCATTCACTTAACAAAGATAGCTAACTCATCGGTGAAGTCACCGATTAGAAATAAAACAAACAAATGTTGGCGGGAAAATGAATGTTTTCATACTATCGTCCATCTCTTTTAATTAAAAAGGTCAATTATTAGTGGCAACTCTCAAATAACACCAAAACAGAACCTACAAATCGCTTGCGGACGCGTGAAACAAGCTAGCGTTAGATCTTTTCGGGTTCTCGTTTTTCGAACTGTTCGCGAACCATCCTGGAACTGCGCAGAACTAGTTGCGTACTTATTCAGTCCTTGGAACTGTGCTCAGATCATTTGGAATTGATCAGAATTTGAAAAAACCCGAACATATTTTATTTTACTTTTTTACAGAGCGATAATTGATGAAATAAATCATGAATCTATTGTAATTTGTAGTGTGCTTTTTTTCACCCAACAATTCTCCTCGAAATTTTTGCCGCCCTTCGACTTTGCCGCCCCGTGCAGGGGCACAGGCTGCACGGGTCCTGGAGCCGGCCCTGCATATAGGGATGAGTATTTTTTCTTATTACCTACTTAGTTGTTTTTAGTTTATAGTTTATAGTTTTTATTTTCAATTAGTTGTCCAGAAGTGCTAGAAAAATTTCTCTTTACATCTTATTTGTTTTCATGAAATATTGTCAAATAAAAATTTGTTATGATAATAAGTGTTTTTATTCTATTTTCTGAAACATCAACAACCAATAACAAAATTCAAAAGAAGAGAATTGTTTATCATATAGAGAGGGAGAAAATTCAAAGTCAAAGTCTCACAAAGTCACAAGTATCCAGAATTCAATTATTATTAGTGGTTACACCAATTATGTGACCATCTACTCCTATAATACCACGTAAAATCCAAGTCAACGTTCTGCACATTCAGCAAGAAAGAAGATACAAAACTAGTTTCCACGCCGCTTCTCCTCAGTCAGTCTGAAGCTTTCGCTCTATGCTTTTCAATTATTAATCTATGTAATTTTCGTAATAAATAATATTTTTTAAAAATAGACATTGGCATTCCGGTTATTTAAGTGGCGCAGTCGGTAGGATTTTCCGAAGTTTTACGGTCGATCGAAAAACGTTCGTTCCAACGATTTCTCGGAAATCGAACATTGGTGATTAGTTCAAAAATCGTTCTAGTTACGCAAGAAGGCAGGAATTTTGGAGAACAAAATCGCCGCCCATTGGACCTGTCCCTTATAGTTACCATAAGGATGCTGACCGTCTGGTTGTTGATGTAAGTACAACTTATAACATTGATGTCTGTCGAAGATTTATCTGATATATTGAATAAATTGACAATCACTTCAGCTGACTCACCAATATCTAATACGATTATACGATAGATTGCATATTGAGTACCGCAGGTACATCGTCAAGTAATAATTTTGAATTAATAGATAATAAATCAATCAGAATGCCTGTATCCAAACCAGACTATTTAAACTGTGTTCCCACCTTCGATGGGAACCCTAATGACCTTAACAGATATTTGGCGACATGTGACAACCTAATTCGAACTTTCTATGATACGGCAGATCCTAGTAAATTCGAAAGTATCTATCTAATTAATTGTTTGATAGGAAAGTTAACTGGTACAGCTAAAGTAGTAGGTAATTAATATTTAAAATGTGTCCAATTGGGACGACTTGAAATCGATGCTATATAGAAAGGAACTTCGCCGATCAGCGCGACGAAGCTTGCCTAAATCGCGACTTGGTTATGTTGATACAGCAATCAAATGAAACTCCATCACAATATTATGAAAAAGTCTTACACATTTTGAACTTATTAAGTTCATATGACGATACGCACGAACATGCAGACGCTGCTAAAATACTAAAACGTAATTTATATTCAGATTTAGCGTTAAAAACGTTTTTGTCAGGTTTGAGAGAACCTCTAGGAACTAATATTATAGTTGGGGAGCTGGCGTCAAAAACATGCAAGAGTTTCCGCAAGGCGGATATTTTCAAAATAGGTCGCAATTTAGTGCTAGAATGCTAGTGTACAGTCAGCACTCACAGTTCCGGGACAGCTGGCTCTGGAACGCGGGCAAAGTTGTAATTTTAAGAAGCATCTAAACTGTTTTCTCAAAGCTCAAAATTTATAGAAATTTTGCACATTATCTGTTTGAAGGTCACAGATAACGTATGTAAATCGTCAGGCGTCTAGTTCGTTGCAAAAAGGGGGTCAGACGTCCTCAAAGTTTTTATTTTATGGCATTTTCTTCGGTGTCCTGTCAAAATATATTTTTGCAGGTATTTGACAAATATATTTGAGCCTCACCACCCGGAGGGACGTTATCTGGTCCCAGATGCCGATGATGTGGTAATAACTAAATATTCAAGTTTCCGTAACCTCCGTCCTGTAACAATATATATTAGCTATTTAAAACTGTTCTGGTGTTTCCCTGATTACTCCTCCCTTCCCGTTCTGCTTTTCAGGGTGAATAGTCGAGCTACACAGCGAAGCAGAGACGTTTCGTGACACTATCTTTCCATTATTGCCCAACCTGATAATGATAGAGAGCAAAGAGAGTTGAACGCCCTTGACGAAAACGTCACTGTTCATACTAATGCCGAAGAACATCCCATTGTAGGTATAGGTATACCTATCGCTGAAATTCCTGTAAATTACGGCGCTCGCCAAATTATTACTAAATCAGTATTACATTTCCCAGCAAAAACAAAAATTACCATATTATTCGAAAAGAAAAAACGAATAAATGTACAAATCTCACAAAGTAATTTTGAAAAAGACATTCTAAACCTTATGAAGGATTATGTTACTCCTGATGTCCAATATCACTTATATTTTGAAAATCGAGAAATATATGAACCATTTTGCAAGGTTGTATGCAAAAATTTTAAATGGCCTTCATTAAAATTAAAATATTGTCAAATGAAATTAATGGACGTCACTAATAAAGACGATATTCGGGAAATCATAAAAAACTAACACGAGGGAAAAACCAATCATAGAGGGATTGAAGAAACTGAAAGGCAAATTAAGTCAAAGTATTATTGGCCTCACTTGAAAAATTCAGTACAAAGTTATATAAATACTTGTGAGATATGTCAACAATATAAATACGAAAGTAAAAGTGAAAATTAACGTAACACCCACTGCTAATAGACCATTTGAAATTGTCCACATAGATGTTTTTACAGTCGAAAAAACCAAATTTTTAACTATCGTTGACAGCTTTTCTAAGTATGCACAAGCATATCACATTGAATCAGCAGAATCTGTCGAGGTCGCCGACCGCCTATTAAATTACTTTTCACATCACTCTATCCCAAAACAAATTATTGTAGATAATGGCAGAAAATGTAAGAATCTCTTGATTACTGAATTACTTGGTTTACACAAAATTAAAGCTCATTTCATTTGCCCAAATCACCCGGATTCAAACGGTATTGTTGAAAGATTCCACTCAACAATTTTAGAAAACGTAAGAATTCTAAATACCCGCGGATTTCTTAAAACACCAGTCCACCTAAAAATGATTTACGCAATATTAGGCTACAATCATACAATACACTCTGCAACAAAATTTAGACCCATTGATATCATAAATGGCCATGTTTCGAGTAATAATCCTTTTGACATCCAACTCGATCAACTACTAATCAACGATTCCTACGTAGAAAATCATAAGGAAAAAACCAAATTAATATATTCTCAAATTAATGAAAAACTTAGCCAACAGAAAGAAACGTTGGTAGAACGATTAAACAAAAATCGTGACAACCCTAATATCTTTTTACTCGAACAAGAAATTCATGTGAAAAAACATATTAGACGAAAAACCGCAAACCCTTTTAAGAAATTAACGGTTATAAAAGACAAGGACGACGTCAATAAAACGGTTTCCACAGAAAACGAAAATAAAATTCACATGAGTAATTTAAAACGCCCGCGTAAACAAACTTACACTTTTAATAATTAATTTTATTCTTGCTTTTAGATTCCTATGGCTCTGCATATGCTTCTAAGAAAACAATCACATTATCATGAGAAACTTAAACGCTTTGCTATCATATATTGATCAATTGAACTTAAAATCAGATAATCTGACTGAAGTAATCGAAGAAAATGGCGAATATAAAAATGAAACGAATAATCATATATTATATCACAAGACCTTCAAATTTAATCGATTAAACTATGCAACATATTTGGAGCATGATTTTGCTTGGAAAATAGTTCAATGCACAATAACTTAATAAAAGCCCGAGACCGCGAAGCGGTCGAGGGCTTTTATTTAAAAGTTATTGTGCATGAAACTATTTGACACAAAGCAAAGTTGTGCGAAAAATATTTGGATAGTTTAATCCATTTAAATTTATAGGTCGAGTGGTATACAGCTAGATTATTTCCTGAAGAATTAGGATTGAAACCAACAACAAAAAGTTCTATTTTTTATTATAAAATGTTAGAATATTTTTATCAAAATTCTGTCAAAAAAGGTAAACAAAAATTTAATCGCTGGTAAACAGGTCTTGTGAAATAATCACTTATTTAAACAAAATGTATTCAAAAAATGACGTCTGATTGGTCTATTTTATAATGAATAAAATAATCACGTGAAAATATTACGTTTAATTAAGGAAAGGGTCGAGTCCAAAATTAATGAAATCTTACCTAATCCTAAACGCGAAACGCGGCTTAATAAATGGACTAGGATCAATATTTAAATCAATAAGTGGTAACTTAGACGCATCGGATGGCGAAAGATACGATAAGCTAATAAATCAATTGCAGAGTAATCAAGAAAAATTAGCGAGCAACATCAACCAGCAAAACGCGATTTCTTTAAAAATTGTAAAACAATTCAATGAAACTGTTCATAAAATATCGACAAATGAAAAAATTTTGGAGAACAAAATAAATGAAATTTATATCTATATCAAACATAGCCAAGCTCATGCGATCATTACCTATTAAAGACTACTTAAACCAGCTAACTAATTAATCTCTATGAAATAATTATTGCGCTTTTGCAAGATGTTGAAAACTCCATTTCTTTTTCCAGATTAAATATAATGCATCCTAGTATAGTATAATGCAAACAAATGACTTGTATAAAGAACTGGTAAAAATTGAACAACATTTGGTTAACAGGACATTGCCTTTAAAAGTAACTTTACAAAACAGTTTTATTTTTCAAGCTTTGATAGATATTGAATGCTATACTTTAAACAACAGAATAACCTATGTTCTTAAAATCCCAATTATGCATCAATTTCACCTAAATTATTATCACCTATTTTCTGTGCCTACCTTTATTGAGAGTCAGTTTAAGGAATGGTTTAGGGCGATAATACCGCGTAACAAATATCTAATAAAAAATGAGTTGTACTACACATTCGAGAACAACCCCTGCAAGAAAGTCACTCCAGGCTACTACATGTGTAAACAAGCCAGGTGCCAAAAAAATAGCCGAAGACAACCCTTGCGAAATTCAACTACTAGACAACAAGAACCCTTCAACTTGTCACAAAGTTCAAATTTCAATTAAGAAAATGAACCTAGAATGTATTGGAGATACCAATCAGTTTATTGGCTTACTCCCACGCCAAGAAAGTATTAAGT